TCACAATGTTTTTTTTTTTTTTTTTTTTTTAGAGAGAATAAAATATAAAGGATATTTTTTAGGAGGATATTTTCCAGGTAAATTTGATTCCTAATAAAATATAAAACTTGTTCAAGTTTATGATCGACGAAAAAAATATAAAGATAATATTTTAACATTTTGGAAAAATTAATAATTAATCTAAGTTAAATCAATATATTATTTTAAAGCAGACAATGCCAAATAGTTTTCACACACGTTAACAGAAGAAGAATTTACAGAGTCTCTAAGAGGTGAAGTGAAATTATAAATTAAAGCACCTTTTGTCCAAAAAGTGTTAAAAATGTGACAATGAAAACAAAATGATGAAAATAGAATTCTGTAAAAATATACATAAAAAGAATAAAAAATTTATGAAGCATAAAAAAAAGAAAAGTTTTTTTTCTTTTTCAATAATTGCGAGGTCAACATATTAGAAATGTTCCTAACACTTGCTTCTTTTCTGTTGCTACTTTTCATTCCTAAATAAATATAAAACTTGTTTCCAGCTATGATCAATAAAACTGATTTATTGAGTGCTTTGTGTAATAGTAAACTAGTTTCACAGACCAGTGAAGCAAGTTCAACCCTGAGTGAGTGCCCTATATTTGTGTTTTTTGTACCATAAGTCAACCTTTATAAATATCAGAACTGTGATTAAATGATACACTTTTAAAAATCTGATTCAGTTATTGAAAACACCAAACCCTCAATCACAAAAGTATTTGGCCATCTTGATATATCTCTACAAAACTCAATTCTACATTTGAAACCTATTTAAGAGATTGAAGAAGAACTTTGACATTTATTTACATATGAACTTTCATTAAAAAAAAAAAAAAAATCAGCTTGTTGCAAAATAATTGTATTTAAATATTGGTTGTACAGAGAAATTCGGGTATTCTGGAGTTGATATTTTAGAATTTACTGTTCACTGATAGTTCAATGACAGGGCAATTGTGTCAGACAGCATAGTGAAGGATTCACTAATGCCTATGACATTAGCGGGATCAGCTTGGGACCTGTTATAAGAGCAGCTTATCAGTGGACCTTGTGGAACGCACATTAGCAGCAGCATGAAAGGAGGAGTGGAATTCTAGACAGGTTAGATGGTACAATGGTCATGATGGCTTGCATGACCTTTGATTGAGATGCTGAAAATTAAGTGGTTTTAGGGGGTGGATAGTTCAGCTGGATTAGATGTTGTCCTTTTTACCAATGGGAGAGGTAGTGGTTGTTGCATTTTTTTTCTTCTTTTTTTAAGTGATTAGAACACTTTTCAAATTCTTCTCTCCCTCTGGGCCAGTTTGGCAGAAGTGCCAATTCAGAAAAGGCATTTTTTCATAGCATTCTCTTTTTACTTTCAAATTATGGCATTATCCTTTACACACAATTGAAATGTGTATATGCACACACAGTATCAATACTTTGAGAGTTGTAAGAGAGTAGTCATGGTCACTATTGGTTTGTTTCATCATGAAACAAATTTATGATAGCAATACACTTCTTAAACTGTTGAATAAAACTAAAGTCTAAATATTCATAAATCAAAATGGATTCTGTTGCAATTGTTTTAAGTATTGTATACTTACACAATATGTAGAAGATATAAAAGTAACCCAAAAAGTGCAATAAATTCATTCAAGGCTTGAAAAAAAAAAAAAAAAAAGTCTGTAAAATTTTTTTAGCTAAAGCACAACTATTAAACAAGACCCACTTACAGAAATTGTATTATATAACATAGTCAATTTGTAGTGTAGTGTTACTGACTCACAGGAAGTAGTATGTACTCAACTGCCTCTTAGGTAATAGCTGTAGCTATTAATAGTCTTTGTGATTTCATATTTAAATGAGTCACCTCATTTCCCTGTACCAAAGAGGCTTTATCCCCTTATTTTCCCTGATACTTCTTTTGGGAGTTTTTGTTTCCTCACTATCTTCCTCCCTCTACCTAAGAGATTGTTTAGATATGGTAGATCTAGACCATCTACTTTTTTCATAGTAGTAGAATAGCCTGGCCACCATGCCTCTAGCCTAAATCTCCTTTGTGTAGATGTTATTCCACAATGAACATAGTTCAGAAAGTAATGATGAATTACTTACACTGTGCTTGTTTGAAGGTTTTTCAGTAGATAACATTTTTATCTGTGTTCGTCTTACCTGGTTTTTGCATGTCTACACATCGAGAGTGCTTCTCTCAACTGAGAAAAAATACTGGTGTTATATAGCTCTCCCAAACCCAGACCCATGCTGACTATTGGCTAATACCTGCCCAGTATCGTTCACATGCAAATAGGCAGTGCCACCTACTCTAAGTAGAAGGTCTTCTCTCAACAGCCCATTGTGGAAGGGACGCAGCACCACATACAACAAACTGGGAATCTTTTATTGAGCTGACCCAATTCTCTGTTACATTATCAGCTTTCTAATTGTCTTTTAGTTGAAAATTAAAAATAGTAAGAATTGAATTTGCATCCTTGGTTTATGGTAGTTTTTGTATGTCTTATTTAGACACTGATTAATTGACAAAATTTTTCTTTCATAAATTTGAATCAAGAAACTTTTGTTAAAAAAAATAAAATTTAATAAATGGATTGTATGTTTATTGATGCAGCTTATAAAAAAATCAAAATGATATAAAATTAGCCAAATTTTCAAAATTTTGAAGACGTTTTCTAAATATTTTCCTATTCTAGAAGCATTTCCTCAAATTGATAATAGTAGTTCAAATAAAATCATCAATTTTTTTTTATTTACAGTCAACCAGCAAATTTATCATCTGTGATAGTTTGTAATGATAGAAACAAAAAATTTTCATTGGACATTTACATTTGATCTCAGGAAAATTGAACAAAATGAAAGATATTCAAGTAAATTGGATGACCACAAAGTGAGTGTATTTTCAAATTGGCCAAGTGAAGTAAAGATTCTTTTTTTCTTTTGCCAAACTTCCTTATTCAATATGACCCATACCAAAAATCCAATATCTAAATATTTTCACATTTTCAATGAGTAAATCATTTATAGACAATATTTTACAACAGAGATTCATAACCACCTAAATCTACTTAACTAATTTATGCTGAACCGATTAAATTTTTCGGATTCTTGCTGATTATTGATATTCAATAGTGGTGGTGAAGTGAAGCTATTTGGAAGCTACTGATTATTGGGTTTCCTAACACCCCCCACCCCCACTGCACACAGTAACCACTTCAGCTTGTTGGACACCGTTACTGTTGATGGCTGAGATTTTGGATTTACAAGTAACATTGAACCAGAAGAGAAAAGGAAAACAGATTTCTCTAAGATGAGGTGTAATCAGAAGTATTGCTGGCATCTTGAGATGATGAAACTTGTCCATCTGTAGATTAGCTTTGACACACCATTATTTTGACACAAGTTACAGAAACATTTCAAAGTCTGCTCTGTAATCAGATTCAGTTATTGTAAACAAGTTTATAGATGTTGCCAGTCTATTTGCTTCACCTTTCCTTGATAGAAGAAAAATATTGAACTTTGAAGGAATCAATTTTCTGACTTTCTGACACACCAATGTTGCACTTTCACTCAGAACATTAAAAAGTACACCAAGTTTCTCTTTTCACTTTGCCTGGAGAAAACTGATAACAGGCTTAGTCCTTATTTTTGCTCTCAAACTTTTAGAAGCTTTACAATTTTCATGTGAACCAAGGAATTATCTTTGTGTACAGTCCAAATTTTAGGTTTAGGATTTCACATAAACGTATGATACACAAGGCAAAAGGAAAAGTATTAGAAAATTATCTAAAATGTGACAATTATGAGGTCTTACTGGAAATGATCCAGCCATTTAACATAAAAAAAAAAAAAAACTGCTTACCTAGGGCAATAGTGCCTCAGTCCCTTTCAAAATACTCTTTGGGAGCCTCTCTCACTTATCCTAGTATCACTTCTACTTTTCCGAACAGTCTGCAAAATCCTCTTTCACGATTGCCATCAGTTGTGCCTAATTGTGTTCTTCATCTCATCATAGCCAGATATTCCCACCCTCCGTTTCAATGTTAGAAGTTGAAAGTTGAAGGGAGCCAGATACGAGTAATGTAATTTTTTTGTGAAAAAAATATTCACACAAAACATGAAGAATGTTCAGCTGGAATATTGAAAATAACCGGGAATTCCAGACTGTTTGAAAACGGCTGTATACATTCCGGACAGTAGTCAAAGAGTAAATTACATGTTAACTCATTACTGGATATTAATTTAGATAAACTAGTTTCAAACAATAGAACTTGGTAGTCAAGTGATGAATGAGATTTTTTTTTTTTTTTTTACATTAACCACTTTTTCATTATAAGCTAGAAAAATAAAGATTATACACACAATTTTAATTCATTTTATGTGCATGCATCAATTATATTAAAAAAACAAACTTCAAAAACTATAAAATTTTTTATGAAATTGTAGCTTTGCGTTGAGATATATGTGTTCCAAAATAAAAATTTTTTTTTTTTTTGTTATTTAGTAAAATCATAAGAGATTTTTTGACATGAAGGAGACAAACTTTGGTCTTAGCCAAAACTTGAAAAGATTTACTATTTTCAGCTCAAAACAGGTTTTTTAACTTTTGTCCTACACATTCTTTCATTCCTTATTGAAGAGGAAAACCAAAAAAGATTTTAAAAAAATTAATAATTAATCTACTTTAAATCAACATTTAAAAGCAGACAATGCAAAATAGTTTTCACACACACACATTAACAGAACAAGAATAATCTACAGAGTTTGTAAGAGGTGAAGTGAAATAAATTAAAGTACCTGTTGTCCAAAAAGTGTTAAAAATGTGGCAATGAAAAAAAAAATGGTGGAAATAGAATTCTGTAAAAATATACATAAAAAGAAAAAGTATATGAAGTGAAAAAAAAAAAAAAAAAATTAGGAAAATTTGTTTTCTTTTTCAATAATTGTGAGGTCAGCATATTAGAAATGTCCCTAACACTTACTTCTTTTCTGTTGCAACTTTCTTCAGTTCTTTCAAGATAATACCAATAACATCTGTTGCATATCTTGGTCTGGTTAAACCCTACAAAAGGAAACAAAATGATCTTTTTTTATATACAAGTCATAAATAATTGAATAATGCAAGAAAAAAAAAAAAAAAAAGAAACAGTGTTAGTGATAAATTTTGCAAGAAGGAAAATTAAAAAAGATAATTACAAAAATAGCAAGAAACCTAATTTGGAACAGTATTTTACAATGTGAATAGTTAACTTGCATTTAAATTGTATTAATTTAAACTATTTAAAGTAACTTTGATGAAAGGTTAGTTCAATTAAAAGTCAACTTGAGGAACTCTCTTGTGACAGATGAGATCTTTCTAAAGGATTAAAAAATTGTACTAATTCCATATACTTAAGCTTTTTTTTTCTCACACACACACATATATATATATATATATATATATATATATATATATATATATATATATATATATATATGAGAGACCAACAATATTCATCATTTTGTGAAATCATTTTTAATCCTTACTTAATACTGAAATATGCTTGATGTTAACATAAAAAAAATTATGACTGTAAAATTATCAAATGGAAGTGAATAGCTTAAACTGCTGAAGTATTTTATATTAAGCCATTAAATTAATTTATTAGATTAATTAATCAAGTAATAAAGTCAGAATCTATTATTGATAACACCTGTTTTCCTGCATGCCCAATCAAATAAAAGCCATGACTTGGAGCTTATGAGGTGCTGCAACTATGGAGGAGGAGGAGGAGGAGGAAGAGGAGTGCCATCAAAAGCATCTCAACAAGAAAGGAGAAAATTACCAAGGGAGAGAAATATGAGAACAAAATTATACACACAAATTTAATTAGCTCTGAAAATGTCAGGCCTTCTTCTGCTGATTCTCGTTTGCTCCAGATATATTTAGATGTTGTCTGAAAGAAAAGAAAAAAAAAAATTAAATAAGCATTTAATATTCAGACTCTATATCATTTTCCGATTTTGACAATTGTGTAACAGCAATTATCTTGAGAGAAGGCAGAATTGCTGGATGGAAAAAATTAAAGCAAAAATGCATCAGTAAATCAAAAATTAAATCTAAAATTCATTAAATACACTTTGCATTTAATTTGGCTTTATTTCTAAAAATGTGTAATGTTTTAGGTTTTTCTAATAGTTTTATATTGAAAGGCACACTGAATCTTGTCACCATTGTGTATCACTTGACATCATTTGCAATATTTTATAATTTGTTTTTATTTCAGACTTAATCTATCAATCCTTTCTACTTATATTCAATAATTTTTTTTTAACTGAGAAACTTTTCTTATTCAAAATTTTTTCTTTTGACATTTGTAGAAACACTAGACATTAAATTTCACATAATAAGAATAATTTTGCATGCAAACAGCATTCCACTCGAAATGCAAGAAATCTATCAATTATGCTAATCAATGATTTTTTATTTTTACAATTGATATTAATCAATGTTGGTACAATTTCCAGTGTATATTTATATGCAGTATTACCAAGTAAATTTCTGCCTATATGATCTGATTTTATTAAAATATTTACAGTTATTTTGGCGTTATGTAATTGTATTATGCAACTCACAAATTGTCAATCATATTTTAAATAAATATATATAATAGTTATTGACATTTATTTCTAATTTCAGATTTACACAGATTGTTATGAATTATAAGAAAAGATATAAACATGAAGAGAAAGAAGATATTGTAAAGTTATTAAGTGGTTAGAAATGAATGTTGGTTGATATGAAAAAGTTGACCAAAAAACAGAGAACAATTTGTTGAATGAAAATGATGGCTGGCCTAGCATAGTTGGATCTTCCATGGAAATAAACAATTATTTTTTGGGGGTGTGGAGTGGGGATGTTGTGGAAGTGTGGTTTGATAATCATTTGGGGGCTCAATAGACAATCATTTTGAGGAGGAAGAACTCAGTATGAGGGTGGGGTCATTAGACAATATTTTTGAGGGGGGGGACACCCAGTAGATAAACATTTGCAGGGGAACTCAGTAATGTGCTAGGCAATCAAATTATAGATTCCTTCAAAGTTAATGATGATTCTAAAATAAAGGTAGCAAACTATTCTAACTTCTTAGACCATTTTATTTTTTTTAATTTTTTTTAAAATGATACAAAATCATTTATGTTAAAGAATATACTGACAATGCTTTTTCATTCTGCAAAGCTGACTATTGCCCACCTTGCCAAAAAAAGTTTGAAAGATGCTAAATTAATGTTACCAGATATTATCGAATAGAAAAAGTGTGGCTCCTTAAAATAGACATATATGAGAATGAATATTCCAGCAAAAAACTCTTGGAAGCAATAAAAATTACTACAGATAATATTAAAGCTGAAACAGTAGAAAGGCTAACAAAATCAAGGTCTGAAAAACCAATTAGGGTTATAGAATATATATATATATATATAAAAGCCAATATTAATATGTAAAATATTAAAATAATCATTTCAAAAGTTTTTGTGAAGCACCACAAACACAAGCCTTAGTCATGATTAAAGTGTTAATCACAAAAAAATACTCGACTGTTGTGAATTCACAAGACAAATTCTAGACTAATGCAAATTGTACTCTTAGCGCACTTGTATTTTTCTGATAATTCCTTCACATAGGGATCATCCTTTGCTTAAACATCAAGCAAAAAGTCATGTGGTGACTCAGAGACATATGAACAGGAAATGGTCAGTATAAGCAGTACCCTACAATGTAACGAATACCCTGGGTACATGAGGGCAACTCCGACACAACTGGGATAGAAGGGTGCAAGAGGATCACAACTCAGAAAACAGCCTCGGTCTGCCTACCCAAAGTGAAGAGATTATTGGAAAAAATACAAAAGGTGATCCATATAATATCAGGATGACCTTCAAAAGTGGTTCAACACTTTGCAGACACCTCTTCCAAATAAGAGCTACCATAGAGGAGTACTGTGTGTACACCATCCCATGCAGCTGTAGTAAGAAATATAAAGGAGAAGCAGGACGCCCCTTAAGATAAGGCTGCAGGAACACTATAAAGCTGTAACACGAGGGGAAATAAAAAAAAAAAAATATCAGGTGTAGCTGACCATATATGGAGGGGGAAAAAGGGAGATCACCACACCCTGTGGGATGAGGTTGAAATAATAGACAGAAAACATCACTGGAAAATAAAAATTTTTTAAGGAATAAGCACATATGAAAGGCCACAAAAATCTGAGCCGGCCAAGTATAGAAATGATTACAATATGGGAACCAGTCATATGGAGTGCTAGAGAATAAACAATAATAACAAAGTTACAATATGAGCTCTGGTAAAAAAAAATAATTATTGAGGCATTACATTTATAAGTCCCAAAAAGACCTCAAGGACACATGGCTCAGTGGATAAAAGCATTGATTGAATCCAGTGACTTGACCCAAAAGAGTTGTGAGTTCAATACCTGGCTACAGCAGAGGTGAACACAAATTTGGAGTGCCGAGTTAAAAGGGAGAGGCATGGCATGTAGAACTAGAACTATCTACTCCAGTGGACAAAATAAAGGGTTCGGTTTGAAATTCCAATCACCTGAAGAAAACCAGTTCAAACATTGTGATGATGGGGACAATAACCTGAACAATGTAAATAACCTTCAGAGAAGTTTTAATAATTTCTCCCTGAAAGGAATCTATAAAGCCTTGTTCAACAACCTTCCTTCCTGTGAGCAGGTAGATAGGAATAGATAGGTTACCCCTATTGTCCAGCCAGTACTCCTTCCATGTTTATTGAACAGGAGTAGAGTTTTATCCCTATTTAGTTATATGGTTTACCAGTTTATTTTTTCCATGGTTATAATGATTTAACTGTATTAAGTTTTTGGTGAACTGACTGATCAGTGGCTGCGACTCTCTTCATTATGAGTGTAGTACCGACTGGGTTGGCAGTTTTCTGTTTTGTGCATTCAGACTGGTATCAAGGTGCTTGAACTCTTTTGGAAGCACCTAGAGAGGCAGCTCTCGTTAACAGTCGCATATTTGGGGTATTTACAGTGCCACATTCATGTACTTCCACTGGACAACCCTGAGGTCACATTATCATCGTCACCTTCTGAACAGTTTGTATTGCTATAGAGTGATAACTATTTTGGCCTTTTCAACATTAAAAATTAAAAATCTTCATGACAGTTACAATTAAAAGAATTACGAATAAACCAGTGAAGGAAACAAAACAAAAAAAACAAAAACTTTCTTTGTTTTCATGACAATTTATAGAATCCGTTCTCTTGAAATGTTCTGTAGATATCTTGGAACTTTGCATGACTAATTTAAATTCTGTTATAGGTTATTTTCCCTTTTTGTTGAAAAGATTCTATGATATATATATGCATGGCTGTTATGCTTACATTTTGGAAAATCTTCTTATGGCAAGGGAAATCGTCAATTGAGTCCCCAGATGATTATTTCATGTGCTTTCAACTTTCTTTATTGCATTCTGTTAACTATCTTTTTTCCTTTATCACTTCCCTTCTTCTCAGGACAAAATATTTGACAGTATAGAGATGTCACTCTCTCTTTCAAATATCCTCAGGCCTTCAAAGGCAAAATATTTCTTCAGTTGAAGGCAACTTCTTTGTTTAAATTATTTTTAAAAATATATTAATAGTATATCAGGGCCCACAAAACTTTGTTAGGGCTCAGAGCTGAAAACTATGATTTAATAAACAACACTAACAGTTACAAATAATTTTTGCTAATATATTTGGGTGCCATAGGCAGTGAGCATCTTTCACTAAGACAGATCTGAGGTATCAAGGCTGATTCAATCCAAACATATATGTGACTACTGCTGGTTCCTACACAATACTATATTGTATATATATATTAAATAGTGTTTTAATATGCTAGTAATATAATACCTTGAGCATAATTAGGCCAACACCTGATGTGTGGGGACAATACTGTATAGATTTATACTGAGAGTACTTGATTTAATCAAGCACAGCATATTTGGTGTGTGTGTGTGGGGGGGGGGACGACAAAGTTTTGTTTTTGTTGCCCAATGTAAATAAATTGCTTAAAATTTATACTCATGCATCAAAAACATGAAGTTCACAAAGAAAATTTGGCAGTAAAGTATCTTCAGGGAAAATGTTTTCATTGGAAGTAGAGAAATATACAAGTACAAAATAAAATAAAATGTTAAGTAAGCCTTTTTTTTTTTTTTTTTTGTAATCCAACACCAAACAAATTATATACTCATGTGATGTTTTTAAATAGGAAATTAAATTGAAATGTAGATTTTATATAAAGATAATTTATACATTAATCCCTACAAAACCTTCATAAATTTTGAAAAATAAAATTTCCTAGAGGAATTTTTAATTTGTAAATTTTTTTTATGATAGCCTTTTTATTGAGACCAGAATCCTCATCTTGGTTGTTAGGATTGCAACATTACAGCCACTGTACTTGGTAACCTCTATGGAAACTGATTAAATTGAAACCTTTATTCTACTGAGATAGATCGTTCCAATTTCTGTTTAGGCTTAAGGCCATATCATGTTGAAATGCTGATGATTGTATGATCATTGAAGTTAAACAACATCAAGCCTAGTCAGTACCTAGATGGTCAATTGCTCAGGAATACCAGGTACTGTAAGCTTGGATGTGTGGGTGGTTTAACTGATAATGGCTCAAAAATGAAAATCGGAGAGCCGAGTTCCAATTCTATTCACATTTGTTATATTCACCTATGCATAAATAACCTTGGGAAAGGTATTATTCCACCTCTTACACCCACGGCTATAAGTTTATTAGTAGGACTTGTATCAGTAAATCATTATTATCACCAAAAAAAGTCTAACAATCTAAAAATGTTTTCTGGCTTTAAATAACCTGCAAAAGGCTGATAAGCTGTAAAAAGTAAAGCAATCAATAAAAAAAAATATCTCATTTCTCTTGAGGGGAGAAAACTCATATCAGTTCATTCTCTTTTCAATTGATTTACTTTTGTGCTTCTTTTTTTTTTTTCTCCACTGAACCAGAGTAGATGACATAAAAAGTTTCATTTTTGTCTTGGCAGTACAGACATTAGGGTTAGGGTTACAGAATATCAACCACCTGATTATGGCCTAGTAGAATAAAGGCAGTTAAAATACATGTAATTTCCTGACAACTGGTACCTGTTAAAAAATCACACTGATTTAAGGGAAGAAACAGACAAGTGACACATAAAGATGAATATCAACCAAGGTTTTAAGTATAGAAATTGGAATAAGAACAAATCTGTCCCAGAAGATTGAAGGTCACTTTATTGTGTGTGTAGCAGTGAAATGAATGGTCAAAAAATACCTGTTTTTTGTAGCTGAGAAATACAAGAAAGACAAATAAAATGATAGTTTTCATTTTAATCTTCTTTATAAAGTGACCCCAGGTTCAAAATTTGATACAGCTAGGGAGCTGGAATGACATAGGAAAGTGAAGATGGGTTGCAACTTTCCCAAGTGGAAAATGCACTATTTTGTTCTGTCTCCTTTCTTAATATGACCCTTCAGCCTGAAATGGAAATGAATCCACGTATCCAGAGATATGTGGATTCAATTACTAAAGTCAACCTGGTCATGACACTGGCCATCACATCCAACCACTATGTTCCGTATTTTTATCAGGAATTTTTTTTAATTAAAACTAAAGGATCCAAATCCATTTCAATAAGCCATGATCCAGTGACCTTATAATATCTTGTTACATATGAGAGATACCTGAAGCAAGCTCAAGAGTACAATGATTGAAATGTTATTGTGAGTATACCAAATGAGATAAGCATGTTGATCCAAACAGCAAAGTATATAATAATGATAATTCCTCATCTAAAAAGAAAATCTTGTTAGGGTTTCCAACTTCACTGGTGATGCTTTTTTTTCTGAAGATCAAATTTAAATACAAAGGAGAAAATAAAATCACAGAAAAATTGACAAAAGCACTTTTTGCTTTTCTTTTAAATTTCAATGAAGCTTATAGGAAATGGATTTTAAGAAATCTTAAAGATGTTTTTAAGAAAATATTTTTATACCGAATTTATGATATTATTTTGTAAAGTTTTAGAGCGGAGCAAAAACAATCTCTTAATTTTGTCATGTAGTCTTTCAATGCTTACACTTAAACATTCTGTTATGCAAGGTTGAAAGTTATATTTTGGTACATTTTCTATATTTTGCTATGATGATTATAGCCAAGTTGATTATCCTAAAGATTTTTGCTTGAATAGATCTAAATCTGATGGCTGCAGTAATCCATTCAATAATCTCTTCTTAATGGTCCATCTTTTACACTTTTACATGAAACTAAGTTATGGTTGCTCTGTATTGTTCTTCTTTTGTTTATCTAAATAGATTTTCAGTCCATTAACTTTTTGAAAATCATTTCTCTGAATGTATTAAGAGTGTGTCTTTCCCAGTACCCAAACATCAGCTCACAATCTGTTCCCAACAATTCAATAATGGAAGGAGGAGGAGAGGCAGAAGTCATTGTTTCACCTCTCCTCCACTCACTTTCAAAGCAAAGTGTTTTGGTAGGGGTCAATGTGGATGACAATGTAAAAACATTCTTATTATATTATGTTTCTCTTGTTATACTCATCCAACTCCCCCTTTTTCAGCCATTTTTTTTTTTTTTTTTTTTTTCAATAATACTTCTTTTAGTCTTTTTACAAAAGCCTGTTTCTATTTTTTATATAAAAAAATATCTTATTAAGCTAACTACACTAAATATAATTAAGAAAAATACACACAAATAAATTTGTAAGAAAAAGAAATTATATCGAGATTCATTTACAGTTTTTACCAGATTTTGTGCCATACCATTATTCTATTTCTGCTAGTGAATTGACCTTTTTTGGATGAATATGCAGAGTTTCCTTGTCAGTATTTATATTGGCCAAAATTATAGGGTAAAAACAGCTGGTGAACTCTGATGGAACAGGATTGCCAGTCAATGATGGAATTATATTTAAAAGCCTAGTATGAATGTTTCTTCTTTATGATACTAATTGTAAGTTTTATTGCCTTGATATTATTGAAGTTAATATAAATAAATAAATAAACCCTGCCGAGAAATGATATTTCTTAGATGAGCAAAGCAAGGTATACAGTAACGGGTTCCACAAATGGAACTTTACTAAAAACATTTTTGCAATATGAAGGCAAAAATTCTTATGAAGAAAAAAGAGGTGTAAATAAGAGAAAATACTTTCATGAAAATCTAAAAACAACATTTAACAAGGCTTGATGCCTTCTATGTGAGGGGTGTTAGGAAAAGTTCTCTATTCAACCCACTTAACAAAATGTAACCAAACTTTTTTTTTTTTGAAGAGCTTCTTAATCAGGCCAAAAAATTTTCAATACCTCATCAATGTCAATGGATTTGAATATCCGCTCTCCACCTCCCCAATTCTCAGAACTCTTTCCCAGTGAAATGTAATTATTGGTATTGCCCACCTGTTATAAGCTTAAATGTTTAAAATGTATTCATAAAACAAATGTAAAACAATTCATACTGCAATGTATTTTAAATAAACTTTTTGCAGACATTGTAAAAAGCTTTACTGGTATTAGTGTTTAACTGAAAAAAAAAAAAGTAACATTACCTTCAAATTGTCTAAGAAGGATTCATTTTGAGTTTGGAATAACTTTAACCATTCAACAGATATAACTGGAAAATCAATACGGCCTTGTTTGTAGGTAGACATAGAAATTTCTTTCCATGTTTTTTTCCAAATGGATGCTAAAATGAAAGAAAAATAAATGTTTAAGTAAAAGGATTATGTCCTTAAAAATAAAAATTACATTGCATTAACAAAAACCATCTCTGATAAACATATATTTCTGCATGCTAATCATAAACATGATTCAAATTTGGTAAATGATAGAAATATAAACTTTCACAACATAATTAAGAATATTTCATTAGCAATTAATAACTGTTTCTAAATACTTCAAATGGGAATGTTAATATTAGCCATTTCCTTATAAGGAAGCATTTAACATTCATTGACCAGGGAGCCAGAACTCTTGTTGATTGAAATTTTAAAAATCTTTCTTTTGAAACAATTTTTCAAGAAAATAGTTTCCTCAAGTCCAGTAGCTGTTATTGCTCTTTCAAGTATTGGTGGTGGTTTCCTGTCTAACCTTTTATTTGAGGTAGTATGGAATGTCAACATCTTTATTTTTCTCTTCAAGTTATATGTGATATTCATTTTAGTTGCTGCTGTAGTTGAAAGCCTTTAAGTGATGTGGTTTCTGTTATTTGTTACAGTTGTTTATGATTTGGTAGCACCAATCCCCAATGTTCAAAGAAGAATGATCTTTGCTAAGACCCACACACCTCACTTGCTATTTTTAGCCATTGATATGAGAAAGTGGTTGTATACAGCTGACAGTTTAGATATTTCAGAACAGGTTTGGCGTCATGCATGACATTCATATAAAAGTCTTGTTGAGGCTATTTAAGAAAATGACTTTTTAGTTTAATGTTTTGCTTTTGTAGAAACTTGCAATATTGGGTTAATCAATTCCCAGCACTACCCACATTCTATGTTCAATTTCCTGATGTCCTTTACTAAATTTATTATAACTGATGCATTCACCAAAGTATATGAAGTGGTTAGTATTTACTAATACTTAAATTTTTATGATGGATTGAGGGTACGTACCATTATTGCTTTCATCCCAATTACCAGATTTTAATTTCTGATTGGGAAAGTTTATCTTGATTTCTATTTCTTGGAACACTTGGATGTTGATTTTTGGTTCGTGATCATTCTTATCCCATCATCAGTACATTGGCTTTTGAAGGAAAACATGATCACTGTTGTCTATTAGCAAATCCAGTATGGAATGCTTAAATGATTAGTGCCCATCTCTTTGCATCTGTGCTTGTAAATATGCAAGGTATAGTCTAGGAAAAGATTAAATTGACAAGGGGCCCTCATTTCCTCTTTGCTGTACTCATGACAAGGTTTGAAATGTTTCCATATTAAGGTCCTTGCCATGAGATTTTGTGGACCAATAAGTTTTCTGTACTAAATCAATACATTCAGTAGATTCAGAGCTTGGAAGGTACTTTTCTAATGGATGAGAAGAGGAAATCTCTGTTGATGTGGTCATATGTTGATGTGGGACAAATTTGGAGGGAAATATGCTCCTCCTTTCAATAACAATGAAAAAGCTTATTAATTGAATGTAAATGAGAAATGTATTTCAGACTAATTGATAAATAGTTTTCTTGTAATTTTATTTTCTATTAAGAGTGCTTAGTTGGAGAATAAATTAGTATTTGATCTTCAGAGTCAAAAGGGGATGCAAAAAGCAAGTACTTGTGAGGATGGTTCACTTTGATTAATGTTTAGAAGATTCAAATTTGTCAAAGTGAACAATTTTCCTCTGGGTCTTTTAAAATTAATTTATCAAAACTTTTTGCAGAAAAGAAACCAAGAGGAAAGTACATATTCCTTTCAATTATCTTGTTATTTACTAAGCTTAGCTTGGCACAAGGTTACAGGTATAGAGTACCTGTAAGAACTGAAATCAACCAGAATATCCTTGCTAAAGATTACTCTAGGTCAAGGTGTCCTTTATCAATTGTATTGTTCAGAACAATATAGAAATTTTAAGACTCAATAAAATAGCATCATTGTTCTTCCACTTTTATAGTTTCTATGTCTTGTTACAACCAATATTTGCTTATAAAGGTGGAGCATATAAATTTACATCACTGACACTGATGTGCTTACTGCTATTAAAGTTACTCATGTGAAAGAAATTATATGCATTTGACACATAATACAATCTTTTCATAGCAAGTTTTGAAGATGTTACTTGAAATTAACCGGCAACACAAAAAGAATAATTGTTTATTATTTTTTTTTTTTTTTTTTTGCATCAAGTTTCAGCTTTAAGTAAAATTTCAATTCTTGTATTGTTACCTCAATGGTTTAATTTAAATGGCTGGTCCAAATTTGCGTAAACTGTCTAAATGTATTCTCCAATGTTGTTCTTCGTAGAGAACATTTTCTTGTAATAAGGACACAGTTTGGAACTTTGTACAAAAGATTCCGATTTAAGGCATCTGCAAAATTTTAATGAGTCAAAGTCTTTTGAAGATCTTACAAAAGTGCCAAAGAATAAGCAGAGAACTGTAGCCTTACATCAGAACATTTGAAATATTATCTTATTAGAAATCTACTTGATAACAAATTCAAAATCCAGTTTTTACTAAAAGTTTGGGTGGTCATGTGCTTCAAATTCTCAGTGTAGAAACATATTTGAATGTACAACAACTTGATTAAAAGATATAAAATGGACTATTAAATTCATAATTGAACATGGACAATTATAACATTTTGAAAAAAACAAAAACATTACAGATGCATGCTGGGATTTCTTCCTAACCAATAAAATGGAGAAATTCTTGGTTTCATCTGCCATATTTTCATCCTTTCTTGTCTTGAAGTCAGAACATGATAATCACTTTACGATGTGCCTTTTGTGTGTGAACACAATTCTTACTTGTGAACCTATTGCCTTATTACTGCTGTTTTTGTGGTGATATCAGTGCCATCTAAATGAAAATAAATGGTTTTGGACATTTATTTTCCCAATGATTATCAGTAAAGTGAAGTCCACTTCACAAGTACATAGCAAGCATCTTGGATAATGAAAGTCACTGAAAGAAGATAAATTACTTTTTTAGACAAGAATGACAATTCAAGGAACAATGTTCTCTATAAGACAGTGGTCACTACCTGCAAAAAAGGCAGAGTGACGCTGTGTGATGAGAAGATTGCCTCAAGAATGATGTGAAAATGAAGACATCCTTTAGACTTTTCACATCCCCACTCACCTACACGCTTCATCTCTATCTTGCTCGTCTATAGCAGTAGATTACAACCCAAGAATAAAATCTGCATTCTGCTACAAATTCTAATGTTATAATTCGTGGGTGACAATTTAGCCAAAGGGTTATTTTTAAGCCACAATCACTTGATTGGAAGTAGCTGCACTCCTGAGAATGAACCTGATGTCTAGTCTAGACAATAATGCTACACTCTGCCTAGTTTTGGCTTGCATATATATTGCTTACTTAGTATTATTTTGTTCTCTTCCTTTTCTTATTGTTTGAGAATTTTGTTAATTATATTTAACCATGGCCAATTATATCACATCTCTGAAGTATATATAAATATATCAGATTTTTTTTCAAATTTCCCTCATTCTTACATCCACTTATCTGCTAGGTTAAAAGTAGATCTAACAAAAGTGTAATTGATTCAAATTAAAATTCTAAAAATTTGAGGACACTGTATTTCTTTAAAATGCATCTTAAAACAAGATACTTTTTTAAAGTAAAAGATAAAACTTCAGTAATTACAGTGTATTTGATTTTCTTTTGACAAAAAATAAGTACTTGACTATAAAAAAAATTATCATACAACAGCATCATATTTTGCTTTCATCAATAAGACCACCACAAAGATGAATCCAAATTTGAACTTTTTTGTAGCAAGAGTAACCTGGAGAAAGACTTAAGCAAATACTGAAATTTTACCTTTTACTTAAAAAAAAAAAAATTAAAAAATCTCATTTTAAGATGTATTTTTAAAGAAAGGAAGTGTGGACCCAAACTTGTCTGTAGTGTGTGTGCGCGTATATATATATATATATATATATATATATATATATATATATATAATCTTCAGGGTCTTCATTTTGCAAAGACAAAATTGCAAATTGCTCATCTGAAAATTAAATTTTTAATCTGTGAAGTTAAAAATGCTAAACTAAGGGTTTGGTTTCAATTTTTTAGTACAAATAGCTTCAAGAATTTTTAGTTTACATTTTTTTTTACTGTCGAAAGCTTAAAATATCTAGTTTATAATTAATATCTTTAAATAGTTTAAGTAAATAGACATCACAATAACTTAGTTACCACACATCTGTTTATATCATAAAATTTAAAAATTGTACAGTACATAAGTTTATCATTTTTCACTTCACAAGTAAAAAATTTAATATTCAGATGAACACAGCAATTTTGTCTTAGCAAAACAAGATCCTGACGATGACATAGTGCTAATGTTGAAAGTACTCAGGAACAAAAATGGATATACATCAACATGGTAATTTTCTTTCTTCTTTCAAGAAACTATGAGGGGATCCTATTAAGAATAAATTGACAAAACTTGTCTGAATTACTTAATGAGACATGTCTTAATGAAAACATGCTGCCAAAATATATGCTCTCTCTCTCTCATATATATATATATATATATATATATATATATATATATATATATATGGGGAGTGATATTAAATTTCTAGGACTGACCAAGAAGCCCTTTCTTCCCTAAAAATCCAATATTTAGACACATGTTTAGGTCTTAGTAAAAATAAACTAGAAACTTTTGCACATGTCTAACAGACAAAGAGTTTGAACAGATTGGTTAATCTGTTCAAATGTCAAGTGAACCAGTGTTCTTGAAATCTACAAGGGATGCGGGGAGAAAAAGAAACTCAATTTTTTTTTCCCTTGAGAGTCAATAGAACTTCATATAGATATTAGGTATTTAGTTAAAGATTGTAAAAAACTATATATTATTTACTTAATACTGAGAGTTGTGATTTGTTTTGATATTTTTTCAGCATTTTAATGTGTAAATAACATTTATTCACTAGAAGATGTAACAAAAGAACAGTGAATAGTAAAATGAATAAGGGTTTAAAACATTTAGGTTGAGAAGGAGAACATTACAATTTGAATGGATATAAAGTTTTCCTTTTCAGGAAAAATAATTGTTTGAAAATCTGTTTTGTCTGCTAATTCTGTTAAGGAAAAGTGGTAATAGCTTTCAAATACTCTTAGCCATTTTGTTCTTCTTTAGATTGCTCCAAATATCCACTTATTAAAATTCATCATTTTCTTAATCAAGTATTGATTTTCAATAAGTATTTATCTTTTAATTAGTTTCATTTTGTTTTGAAATTATTTGAACCTTGAAATAAGCCTTTTTTTTTTCTTCTTAAAGTGTAATAAGGACATTTTTAAAACTTTGCAATGCATAAGACAGACATGAGCAAAGAAATGTTGAAGGTATTTATTTGAATCTGAAAAAAATAATCTATATTCTCTGTGATTAGTTCTGTCTGGTCCATTTCATAATGGCAGCTTGTTGAAGATGAATGGAAGAAAAGAGGCAGAAAAAAATGGACACAATCAGTAAATCTTTTGTCACTTTCAAATACAGCCTTCCAGCTTACAATAAGACAGCCAATTACTTGTTGGTTCAGAGAAACAATTTCAAAGAAAAATACTGATTCCAATCACTTCAAAGTCAGCATTTAGGGTTCTGTAAACATGAAACTAAATACATAATAAAAGGGAAAAAACACGATACAGATTCTGTTGAAGTATATTATTGTGGATGAGTAGCTTTCAATAATCATTGTTCAATCATCCTCATATTGCAAAAGAGTGGTATCTACATATATAAGCTTTTTTTTTTAAAAAAAAAAAAAACAAAAAAATGATTGGCTGTATGATTCTATTTAACACAGTAATTCTATTTTCTCAACAAAATAAACAGGGAATTTATACACAGAAATAAATATGTAAAGTTATCATATTGATAGTATGTCAATTGATTTTTGTGTAAATTGAAAGTTGATTGGTCTCAGTGATAATTTTTGTTTCTTCACATGATGATATACATTATGTCTCTGTGGCAGACGTGATGAGACAAAACCTGGGATGAGCACAACTGGTTGCGACTTGCCTTGTCCTCGTCAAAAAAGAGCTCGTATTTGCTTAGCATGTAAAGCTACTGCAGTTAAAATGAGGGAGAAAAAAGCACTTACTGCTCTGCTGTAATCCGTCCTCGGCCAGATAACATAAAAGAATGAGAGGGGACTTGCATTGCATTTTTATGCAATGCATTATGGGATCACATGAAGACGCAAGGGATTATGGGTATATGGACAAATATAAAAGCAACTACTTTTTCCCAGTGGATAGAGTTCTTCGAGTGACGTTCACAGTTGGCGGCTAGAAAAGTCTGTTAGTGCGATTTTGAGACAGAACTCAAGAAGGAATGACTCGAGGTTGGAATACCAGTTGGGAGAGCTTGAATTTACTTGCTTTGTGCCGTTTTCTTTATTCGCCACAGTCTCAGAAGAAGAAAAATACTTAAGACTGTAACAACAGCCATAAAAAGCATTAGGCTTTCGTGTGCAGCAAGGTCAAATATTAAAATGGATAAGATAAATTTTGAATAGCAGTCATAGTAGTGATAACGAGGAAGATGAGCATTAAGTCATGAAATCACAATATCAGAACATTCTGATACACAGTTTGAACTTTCACATCATTCGAAATTAATATTAATATTGTTAAGAATTTTACAAGACAAAAATAAGCCCACACACAGGGTGTTGAAAGTTATTGGCCCAATCCATTTCCAAAAATCTGGTTAAATATCAAACTTTCTTTTTAATCTCTGGGTTGACAATTTTTCAACACCTCTTCATATATCCATTTCAATAAAAATAACTTTTCTCTACAGTATGCACACTGTGTTTGAGATCTTAAGTTAATATGTTAAACTTATTCTAAGAATTCTTTTTACTTTCTCATTTGGAGAGTTGCAAGTTTACGTTCCTGATTCTCAAAATGCCTGCAATCAAAGCACATTCTTCTTTTGCGGTTAAAGAGAAAGAAATACAAAATTAATCAATAATATAATTGCTATCCTGAAACTTTACCATTATTTATACTAACAATATAAAGACTTAACATTCACCACTGGTCTGGTTGACTAAGGCTTTAAAGGCTGCAGCAGGAAATATAGATTTTGCCCTTACATCAGTCAAGTACCATTCCACCATTGACATGGGCTAGAATTGATTTGCAGAGTTGCAGAAAACAAATCAATGCTTCAGACTATCAGAATTACTAGATTTAGTAGAGGAAAGCATTTTATGACTTATTTGGAATACAAAAATCCTGTAAATGGATAGTAAAGTGATTTTAACTGTTTTTGTAATCTATTTACATTATTCAGATTATTGTCCTCATCTTTCTTGCCATATTTATCACAATGTTTTGGCCGTTGTATGCTCCGGCCTTTTTCAGGTGGTTGGAACGTTGAACTGAATCCTTTATTTTGCTCACTGTAGTAGACTGTTCTAGTTCCATGTCTAATGGATGTCAGTTATCAGTTATCTCCTGTTAATTCATCTCTCCAAGTTCTCCATCACATTAACCATGTATTGAACCCACACTCTTTGGGTCCTGTCACTTTATCCACTGTGCCATGTGTCCTTGAGGACATCTGTGTATGAATTTCTGGGTATTATAAACCTAATTTCTTCAGCAACCATTTTTTACCAGTGCTCATGTTGCAATTTTTGCTGCTATTATTGCATTTTTTTTTTTTAATCAGAGATCATATTGCAACTTTGTTGTTGTTATTGCTTTTCTCTGGCACTCCTTATTACTGGTTCTCATATTGTATTCATTTCTATGCTTGGTCAGCTCTGATTTTTGTGGCCTAGCATATGTGCTGATTCCTTAAGTTTATGAATTTTCCAATGATGTTCTTTGTCTGTGATTTCAACCTGATCCCACAGAGGGCGGTGATCTCCCTCTTCTCTCCATATGTGGTCAGCCACGCCTGATTTTTCTACTTCCTCTTGTGTTACAGCTTTCTGATGTTCTTGAAGCGTTACCTTAGAAGGGTAGCCCGTCTCCCCTTTATATTTCTTTCCGCAGCTGCAAAAATTTAAATGCAATGTCAATTGATATCTATTGTCCTCCTGATTACCCTTCCTACTCACTATTACTGTTTCTCTTTCTCATTCTTCCACACCCTTTAACCTATTGTGTCTTAGTAACTTTACTGACTTACATAGGGCACCTAGTATGACATAATTTCAATATATAAGTAATGGTGTAAGAGACTAGTTTATCAACTATCATTTTATATATCTGAATTTCTGATAAAATTCTGTTTGTGTTTTTTCTATCTTTACATCTTTATTTTAATCTTCCATTGTATTTAACTTTTCTTTAAACTATTGCTTATCTTTTCTCAATTTTATTTCTTTATATTGTCTTTCATATGCTTCCCAAAAATGCCGCTGCTGTCAGTTCAGTTTTCAAGCATTATAAACGTTTTACTAATTTTTTTTTTTTTTTCAACAGCATGGATATCATTAATTGGACACTAGCCTATTTAAGAGTACCACACTGATATATAGTAATTAATATCACTATTCACGTGGTTTAGTTTAGTCAACCTTTTGCTTAGAAATGTAATCCATTTGGTAACCTTATATTTTATGCAATTTACTTTCTTTAAGTTCTGTTAACATATCATGAACAAAAAAAAAAAAACCTGTGTGGTCCAAGCTATGCAGTCTGTTGAATAGCTTAGCACAGATTGTTTTCAGAATGATGTTAATGTTGCATCACAAAATTACAAATTGTTATCCCCTTCACATATCAGATGACAAACTGAAAGGTTTCTTGTGGCTATAAACCCTGTCTTGTGAGAATCTCTCTTACCAAGCTTTTCATGAATCACAAGAAGTATAAGTTTGAATGTGGGAACCTACTTAGACTAGAATAATTGAGAGAAGGATATGGTTTTGAATTGAAAGATTAGTGAACCAAAGTGCATTGTTGTCATCTACTACTACTACTACTACTGATGTTGATAATAAACTGACCTAAGCGGAATTCTCTTTGTGAAGCCATTTTAAATTTTTAGATGAAATAGTTTTGTTCTAAAGTTACAGTGGAAATTTTTCAATACAATGCATAGAATAGATATACATATTCAGTTGAGAATACTTTGATTTCTAAATTTCAAAAGTGCAATCTAAATTATTTCATGAGCATCCATTAAAATCTTATTTGTAAAACTATTTCTCACCTATGAGGAAGCAATTTTTTTCAATAAAACTGTTTCATTTGATAATAATGTAGCCACATAGTAATTTTATTTACTTGTTTGCTGGTAGCCATTGCTTTGAACATGTCTAACATTTAAATATAGATTGGCACTTCTGCACATTTTATATATACGTAACATTTTATAGATAATTTAGGTATAAAAAAAAATAAATTTGATTCTTTTTGTTTTAATAATGACTATATGTTAGTTTTTATGGATAGTGAAATTATTTTGAGTAATTTTCTTTATTCATTTAATTTAAATCTTTGCCTACTTGTCATATCACATATTTCTCTTATAGATATAGAAGACAGATTCTGGAAAGATAAATTGCCTCACACAACACAATGAACTAATTTTCTTAGCAGCTGACCTAACAATGAATTCAATTATAGTCTTTCCATTTCATGTCAGCTGAGAACATTTGCCCAAGGCAGCAGCAAGTCACTTTTCTGGAGGTTAGCATCAACCATACTGATGGAAGGCCGAGGTGGGGGCTCTCAGGTGATTAATGATTTTGGAGGTGTTAAAATTAACAAGTCACCTTTTGCCCCAGTTAACAATACACTGGAGATCGTTTTGGATATTGGCTGCCATTTTGACCTTGTCATTGATGCTAATGTGAAGTTATAAAAAATTGGAAATTTTAACCAAAAAGTTAAAAAAAAAAAAGAAGATAAATTTCAAATGACTAAATCAAATAAAGAAAATAAAAAAGAAGTATGAGTACTTACGCCAACTGACATGTACCAAGATCCAACCTTGTGTGGCACATGCATGCAAAGCATGAGCTAAGGTCAGTGTTTTACCAACTCCCATTTCTCCATCTGAAGATCAGTTCATTAAGGAAACAAAGAAATAATCAAATTACAAATAAATAATTTGGTCAAAAGCTCAAAATTCATTGCAAATCAAAACTTAAATGACAAGCTTCTCTAATTATGAATTTCAATCAAGTTCATGCATTGAAATATTTTACAATTTCATTGCTTCAATCACTTACACAATGATTCTTTCCACACATGTATATCTAGGTGTGTTTATCTTATTGGTTAAGAGGTCTGTTGGGTTTTCTCCAAGGATCTGTTATATTCCATAACTTTCAAGCAATGTTGAAAGGAACTATTCAAAACAGAGAGAGAGAGAAAAAATTCTTCCTGAATTTTGTCATGTGCATTGCAATTGTCACCTTTTGCCGAGTTGCTAAGAAGGTCAGTGCTCAAAAATTCTGATGAATTCAGCTTTTTTTTTATATCCAGATCTTCAGTGTAGATATGATGGATTTATGTGATACTGGATTTTTGTGTGGTAGCATAGATTTATGTTCAGTGTCTGTAAATGAGTTGGATGCTGATGATAATTTAGGTTTTTTGTGTTGTTTATTTTTTACAATGCATATTCAGATACCCATAAAAATTGAAATAAAAAGAGACAATTATTTGGTTTGGTTTATTTTGTTTTATGGCATATTAACATCTCAATAGGTTATTTAATACAGACAAGAATTTTAGGATAGGTTTGTATGTATAGAATATGTATTTGTTGTAAGAAATCAGTTTGTAGATTAGGTTTCATTGACATTTTTATAAAGAGAGTTTTTGTCAAGAGTCAAATGTATTGCCAGTAATATTTTTTTTTTCCAAAAATGTATTGCTGGTATTTTTACTACAAAAATCTATTTTTATACTTTCATAGTTTATTTACTATTTATAGCTGTGACCCTAACAATTAAGAGGTGGTTCCATGTGCCTGAAAACCTCCTGATCAGAGGCCTTGCTGCTGAATGTACTTTATCATTATACCCAGGATGAGAGAATTGTTAAAACTTAAGGAATGAATTCCTCAAATACTATAAAATGTTTTCCCAATGTTTCATTACCTTTGGACTTCATCACCTTTAGTAGAAGGTGTCATAATTGTGAAATTTCCATGAATCAGAATTTTTGAAAAAAAAATCTATTAAGAAGTCTAAAATTGGTAGCTTTGAGAGACAGTTAATAAAACTTATTAGAATTTATTCCCCAAATTCTCTAGTTTTCAAATGTTGTGCCAACTTTGGCTACGTTTAGAGGATGAAGATGATATTTCTTAATATTTTTGTGTGGTCAGCCACCTAAAAAATTTTCATATTTTCACCAGACAACTGCTAATACCTACTTTTTGGTTACTCCCTGTAAAATTCTAAAGAGATATTTGACTAAAACTCTGTAAGGGTATCAAATTTTATTAATTTCTGGCTAGTGGATTGGAGGATATAAAGGTTTTTGTAAGTTTGAAAATGGAAATGTCCATCAACAGAAAATGCCAATTCATTTGTGTTCGTTGCATCCATTTATTTGCAAATACCCTTCAAAAAGGGTGTGAATTCACCTCTTCTCCCCCAGCTATGGGTCAATTTGTAAAACTTCACTAAAATCATTATTATCTAAAAAAAAAATTCTTACAGTCTAAAAATAGTTTTAGGCTTTAAATAACCTGCAAAGAGTTGATAAGCTATAAAAACTGAATCAATCAATAAAAAAAACCCCCAAAAACTAAGGAATCAAGTGGTGTTTTGTAGTGTTCAGTGATTTGAACAGGTTCTGCCATCAAGTGAATGACAACTACCAGAATGTATTCATTCATAACACACAAGCCCATCCTCTAGGATTATAGTGTAGGATGTCATAAGTTACAACTCTCACTCATCTTTGGTGCTTGTGGAAGAAACATTGAACAGTGATACAAAATTGTTCAACCAGTTTTGCTGCCATTCCTGCAATAGGAAGGTGAGATGCTGTTCCATCATATGTTGCATAACAAACTCTGCAAGATATTCTTCTATAAAACTTCCCTAGCCAGAATAATCACCAGACCTGTATCCTATTGAAAACACAGGGAATGATGCCTAACTCATTCATTTACCTATCTACAATTATTACTGTACTGAGTTAAACGTAAGAAGCATGGAATTATGTATCACAGAATATAGTCTTCATAATCTTGTGCATGCAAATATACAAGCCTGTTTTAACACCCATGGAAGCTATACAGTATGTTAATATGGGGTTGGAGTACTGTTGATACATAGTTTATTTTGGAACCTATGTACATATTGATCTGCATATTTGATCATTTACTATAATCCAGTAATATTAGATACATGTTTATTCTTAAACTGCAACACATTCTAAATTTTGCAATTTTATTTTCTGTCAGTATATTTGCTTTCCTGGCATTTATAAATAACAGTGAGCAGAGACAAAGACTCTCTAGAATTTGTATTTGATATGCAAGAAGAGATTTTTACTTGTGTATCATTTCACTTCTGTGTTGTTGCTAACTGTTCTGCCATTCCTTTATTATTCTGTGTGTGAAATTTGATTAATAAATATTAGTAGACCACTTCTGGACAGGACACAAAATATTTTTGTCACTGATTCATATACAAATGTAGGGGATGTCATCAGTCATATTCCTGATCAATTTATTTAACCCTATTATTAATATCACTTTGTTTATTATCCACACAAAGATAAAAAGCAAAGTCTATTGTAACAAGTTTTAAACTTGATACCTTAAAGGTTCCAGATCTAGACTTTTACCAACTTACTCAAGAATTATCAGTTGCTGGAACAGTATGACTTAATGCACTAGAAAAATACTGACAGTTTAGTCTCGACATGTAGAAAATATCCATTGTAAAATATAAGTTTTGAAATAAAAATATAATGCAAATTTTACAAGTATATAATTAAACTTTTTATGTGCTTCTATTTCTATTATAAGAAAACAGAGTTAATAAACAGGCACCCATTTAATATTCTTGTACATCAGCTGCTGAGATACTTTTAATACCTTTTCTATGGAAACAGAGTAGTAACAGTAGTAGTAGTATCCTAAAGGAGAGCTGTCACTTTTTTTACCTGAATTCTATTTAAATTTACCTGTGCCAGTAAACTTCATGAAGCTTTTTTTGAAACTTTTGCTAAACACTCAAGTTTAGCAAAATATTAGCCACCACATGTCTTATGTAAAAGAAAAAATTATATAGACAGAAGCAAAACAAAATCTACTTTACCCATAAAATTGAAGCATACCTATAGTTTCAAATTTTGTAAAAGGCTTCCTAACATTATTTTATTGTTTAGTTAAATATGACAGCTCAAGCAACATGTCATCAAATTGATGCAATGAAAATGGCTGTTATGAACAATTGTGAGGTGATAAAACAGTTGAAAACATTTTTTAAAGTATGGAAAAAGTTTCAAAATGAGTAAACAACCTCATTGCATTCAATTTCATGAAGAATCTGTTCAGTTTGTAGTAGGAGAGTCATTAAAGTTGTTAAGAGGATGAAGAGAAATCCACAAAGAAGCACGAGAAAGATGGCAAAAGAGACGTGTGTTTCGAATAGGTCCAAAAGGAGGAGTGTCAAAAAGGATTTCTTGTGAAAATCATGCAAGATTCAATGACAACAACTGCTGCTTCCAAGTGCCTCAAAGCAAAAACAGCTTAACAGAGGGGAAAAATGTTGGAGGAGATGCAGTGTGCCACAGAAAGTCTCTATTTGGAGAGTTTTTTTTTTTGGTAGTTGATACAGCATCTGTAGTAAACTACCAAAATGATAGGGTTTACATCACTTCACTAGGAAACACTCCCGAAGGTGACAGAACATTTTTCAAGCGACAATAACCAACTGGTATCATGGTTTGGATTGCTGTTGCTTGTTCACAATCACCCTTAATGTTCATTGAAGAAAGAGTGAAAGCAGATGGCAGAGGTTACCAGTAAATGTTGGAGAGATGTGTTGAAATAATTTAACTATTTCACATTATTATAAACAATATTCTTGGGCTTTAGTTTAAATCAAACTTTCTCTACAGCTACCTCATAGCTACTAATTGATTTCTGCTCATGAATACAGGTGAATCCATTTGCTTTTTTTTTCATTCTACCAACAGCTTGTCATTGCCAATTTTTCTATAATATTAATATCAACTTGCAACCCATGTATTTTCATTCTGTAAAAATTAGTGTTCACATTAAAACTTAATGAATGACGGTTGATATCTTTTGGTCAGTTTCACATTGGTTCAGTATAGTCTTTCTCTATCTCTTCAACAGAAAGCAAAAACAAACTTGAAGGATACATTTTTAATATTGTATGTTAATTAAATGGAAATTTGAACAGGCTCAGTTACTTTTCAAAAGGAGTAGGATTCAGTCTCAATGTGGCACGTCTCATTATGAAAGCAATTGTCAAGGCTGTTTTGTCTCAAGAGAAGTGACAATGAGAGCCACCTCATCATATATTGATGATATATATGTAAATGAAAGCATAATGTCTGCAGATGAGGTCATGGAGAAACTAGAATCCTTTGGGTTGACGAGTAGGGATCCCAAGTGTCTGAAAGATGGGGCTCTAGTATTGGTCCTTGAAATCTGGGAGGAGCACAACAATCTATGGTGGAAGCAAGGGAGTGCAGTTCTGGAACTCCCTGCTGTTTTTCCCCATTTGCAAAAAGTTGGTAGGATAATTTCTTGTCTGTGGGTGGCTTCATGCAGCAACTGCAGTAATGAAGAGGTGAGCAACTACGGTAACAAAGGAATGGGATGACACAGTGAACAACATCCCTCTCAAGCAGAGGATGGCTGAAGTAATCACCAAAGAGCACCAAGATGATGACACTTGAGATGACTGATGTGTAACCAGAGAAAAAGCTAAGGCATGGGTTGATGTAAGCTCCCTGGCGGTGGGTCTGGTGTTGAAAAGACATGGTGCTATTCTGGAGGATGCATGCTGGCTTCACCTAACAAACGATGCTCATCTGGTAGAACTAGATGTCACACTAAAGTGGCATTCTAAGGTGGTACACCTATATACAGACTTGGTATGTGTTTATCACTGGTTGACTGACACATTGACTGACAAATCCTGAGTAAGAAGAGAGCCTCAAATGAAACGATAATGCAATGAAGGTTGGTGACATTAAAACAGCTATGTGATGAGTACAGTTTGGTTGTTGACATCACCTTGATTGGGTCAGAGCAGAATGTAGCAGATAGACTAACTCAGGTGCCAATAAGGTGGCTTGACAGGATCAAATGAGGGACTGACCTATTGCGATCATATACTTTGTTTTAATGGATCAATTAGCACCTGACCAGATCCAGGCCATATGCCATCAAAGTGGACATCCTGGCGTTCGGCATACAACCTACTTTGTCCAAAGAGTGTGTCCCTTGACTACAAAGGCATTCATCAAGTTGGTAATACAAGATTACAAGGATTGTTGGATATTAGACCCAGCCCCAGTCTACTGGCAAAATGAATAAAATTTGGAGGCAGTTAGGCATGGACATCATACACTATAATGGCACACATTTCTTAACACTCACAGATTGTGGTCAGTCTCATTTCACTGTTTGGCATCTGCTTGTATGCCAGGGTTAGGGTTATATGACTACAGGCAGTCAATGTGGCCCACTGGGTGAGATATTGAAGGACAATATGCCAACCTTTTGTGGCCAAGACTTTTGGGCCTTTGTAAATGAATGGGAAGTGCGGGTATGATACAGATGTGCCTATATTCCAGAAAGTAATGGTACAGCAGAGCTATGTCACAGCACCATTAAAAGAATTGCAGCCAAAACACAGTGCATCATTCAGGAAGCTGTGGATTGGTACAATGTGATCTAAAAGATGACTTCACACAGTCAACTGCACCAACCAACAGAATTTACTGGTACAAATGGCACATGAAAAGGATAGATGCATCACTACCACTTTCTAACAGTGTAAATAAACAGTATCAAGTGGGAGACTGTGTCTGGGTCAAGGCCCTGCACAGCTGGTGTGCCAGCTGATTTGTTAAAGGGCAAGTTGACTAGATAGCTCCAAACAGTATGGGTTAATGAAATGCCATGCCATGTGAAAGACCTGGGACCACAGTATGATTCTTCTGCTTCAGAAGAAGACGGCAAAAATAGTAAGTCAGCTGTGAGTGAATCAGAGACTTGTTCTTAAGAACAGGGTTGGAAAGTCTGCCTGCAAACCCAGAGGATGATGACAATATTGGAAATGAAGGGGACAGGGAGAACACAGGTGGGGGACGTGACACTGATTGAAATATCCACCCACCTCCGTCTACAAAGAAGCACTTGCCAAAGACAACCTCCATCTCCAGGCTATATATATGACCAGGAGATTAGAGGGGAGTATAACACAAAAGAAAATTGCTTACCTCCTGGACGAAAACAGATTTGGACATGTCTTGCATGTAAAATATTCCCATAAAGAAAATGGCAGTTTTACGAGTCATATATTTAAGAAAAGATGGATCTCAAAGCCAGATACTTTTGCGAGGCTCTTTTTCCAACTATGCAAATTTGACCTGTCACTCATTCTATAAAAAAATGCTTAATGAGATGACAGAGCACTGTGACTGTGCTAGTCAACAGGAGACGTGCTGGTGAATTGGTTGACTTACACTAGTCTGTTTAGTGAAAGAAACGAATTAGGGAACCTCATTATAAGCAAGAAGAAACTTGCCAGGATTTTGCTTGTAAGTAGTTTTGTAGCAAAATAGATTTATTAAAACATTTGTTAAAACAAAGCAATCAGTCTTTCAGATATACACTTAACAAGGATTCTGAACTATGGTAAGGCATGAACCAATAAACATATCTATTATCCAAATCAACATGTATCATGACAAAAAGTAATGAGTATACCACAATAGTTGATAAGAGAATGGGTGATTAAACACTTGGGCAAGCCACACTCCCCTACCTACCTTACCTACCCAGGCAGTCATGGCAGATAATTTGTTACACCCAATGTCAACCTTGACAAGAGATAATTCATATTTGAATGCCTGTTCACTGGTGAATATCTAAACGTATATTAACATAAAAGAAAAATCTGTCTTAATGAAAGTGCTCAGTTTCTTTTGGATATTTCAGTGCAGATGAGAACAAAGTTAACTTAAGCCTCCAGCAAATTTACATTAACAGTTGTTGACCAAATACCGAAAAGAATTACTGATAAATAAGCAAATAAAAGCATTGGTAAATTCAACTTTGTCCAAGTCTGAAGAACTAAGACAAGTGTTATTAGACTAATTTTGATAAACCTAATTTTGTATCTACAAGCATAGTTCAGAGGTGAATACATTAAACTGAGGATGTCTTATCCCTATTCTTTTAACTTATTGCCATATGACCTAAAGAGAAGAAAAAGTAATTTCAAACAAACAGAGTAGCTCTGTTCGGTGTTCATTTAAAAACATGTAATATATATATATATATATATATATATATATATATATATATATATATATATATATACGTACACACACAATGAAGTTATGAAAGCAAGATCTTGAGTAGGAGCTATAGTATGATCCATTTCCACCCCCCACCCAATTTATGGATCTGTTCTGACCACATTTAGTCAGAACTGTGCTGTGCAGAGTTAGTTAAAACTTACTATTACGCTAATTTTTATTGTCTCAAACAATTCTACTTCAGGAGCTATGATAAAAAAAATTGTATTAAAATCTTAACTTTTCTGAAAAAAAGAAAAATTGTTATAAAATAAATAAAGGATACATAAAATGATTCTTAGGACAGGATGATCATAATTTGCATTCTTGATATAATCTAAGACTTCCAGGGCAGGTTTTCGTACCATGATACAGGTCTCTTGAAAAACATCACACTAGAAAGGAGAAAAAAGACAATTAAAAAGCATAAATATTTTTCATTAATATCAAATAACTACAGAACAAAAATATTTTTATATCAATGCAAAGAATGTAAATTTTTCTAAATATTAAAGAATTTTCAAAATATGTAATAACTAAAAGCAATTAGATGATGCTATAAAGTAAATTTTTTTTTTTTAAATCAATCTGCTAAATTAGGTGCAAGTTTAATAATAGTTTATATATATATATATATATATATATATATATATATATTAGCGATGAGATGATTCCAGTATTTTACCGATTCCAATACTGTTCTAAATTTACAATTCCAATACGATTACCAATTCTGATACCGACAATTAAAATTCATTATTTCAGGCCCTACAATTGGTTTTGGAAACTTCATGAACAAAGTACATTTAGTAGAAAAATGAATACAAAAGTTTATGAAATAAAGTTAGAGATTCTTTTTTTTTTAAAAAAATTGGGTAAGAGTTTAAACAATAAAGAGAACAATTTCTTTAAGTAAATCACTTAAGTACCTAGCTACTCATATTTATATCCTAAACCTCTTAAATTATAATGTAAGAACATTATAATCTCTCCTGTTTCACCTTTCTGCTGATTTCTTTTTGATAAATAAATTTTACCTGCAATTCTAAATAATTGTTCACTTTCAACAGAAGAGGGAGGTGCTGATAGATATTTCCTGGCTAAAAGCGCCATGATCAAAAATTCATTTTTATTTTGAATTTCACCACCAAAAAACATTATCATCACTTTTTATATTTTTTAATGCAATATACAGGGTGATTGAAAAGTAACTCCCTATTTTATATAATTCCCTCCAAAGGAAACAAATTCCTTATATGATCTTTTGGATTAAGTGACGATCAAAATGCCTTATATGGAATTTTATTTTTAATTTCAACTTAAGAATAATTGAAAATTTGTATTTTAAAATAAAATTTTATATAATAAAATTCTAAATTTTTTTTTCTTGGTTTTTAAATGCAGACAACACTTTTTCATTGCTGGTAATATTTTTTTCCAAAAATGTATTACTGGCATTAAAAACTATTTTTACACTTTCATAGTGTTTTGACCCCAGTTTGGGTTTTTATATATATATATATATATATATATATATATATATATAATGTTGTATAAGAGTAAGTGTCGTTGCGGATACTGTGGTTTGAAACTAGATCACCAGTGAGTAACATGGGCAATTCCATTATTAAGTAGATCACGCGATCATAAAGGAAGTGAATAAACAGGAAGTAGCGTGATGACTATAAGATCACTGTTCATTCTTCTTGTCCATCCATTATTGCTATATGTTCACTCTCTCTACTCTGGATTATGATTCTCTTCTGATCATTGTACTATTTGGTGATTACTACTTGAACAAGTATTACTAGTAAAGATATTATTGGAAGGTGTTATTACTAGTACTGGCGTTTACAAAACTTTTGCTTGACATAGCAAAAGTGACAAGCGAAGCCGTCCAACATCACAAATATATGTCTCAAAAATAAATACCACCACCATTCTGAATTAATATAAAGGCTGTCAATTTTACAAATACTGAAACATTTTTGGTTAATAATACAGATAATATTTATTTTTTTAAGTAATCTGTTCATCCACAAATTTATATATTAAACATACATTTTTCTAAAACTAAAAAAAAACAACAAAAAAAAAAAACTTCTTTCTATTCTTTATTAAATTTTACATAATATTCTGACTTGGGGATGGGCAGGGAAGTAATTAATATGTAATATAGTAATTAATATGTCTACCTTATCAAAAGATTGTCATTAAATAGCACATGTAGTCTTTGCAATCTCAATAGAATCACCATTGGATCAATAAATAATAAGGCTGCTTGTAAGTTCTTTTGGAAGTATGCCAAAAAGGTTTTTTTTTTTTTATTTCATCCCAAGTAAGGCAAAAATGCCACAAAGAATGAAAAAATTTTATTGAGGAGAAAAGACAATAAAAGAACAGGAATCAGAAAGGCAGAAGATGGCAGTGAATATTGTATTTAAATTTTTGAAGATTGTAGATAGCAGGAAAGAAAGAAATCAAAAGAGTTCCACAGGTGAGAAGTGAGAGAAAAGAAACTATTATGGTTATATCCAGTTAATTCAACAGTAAAACAACAAAACTTAGTTGTTAATCTAGCAGTATACTTACATTTATATGGTCGAGGTACCCATTAGAACAACTATAATGAAAATATTTCTAAAAACACAGCAGGAAATCATGTCACAGTGGTGGGCAGGTGACTGAAGTCAAAATGTCAGGTCCAATTACATTACAAACTTTTCTTTGAATTTTGTCGAGAATCTTGAGATATATAGCAGGAGCCGCAGACCAGATATAGTAGCAATATTCAGTGCACGGAAGAATGGCAGATATATAAACGTGCAAGACAGTGAACCAACTTTCCTAGCATAGAAATTGATTCAATATAATAATTCTACTTTATGTCAGTGTAAAACTTGAAAACAAGGCGGCACAATGAGTTGCTCTCCTGGATCATGCAGATAGAAGGTAAAAATGAAAAAGGTGATAAAGATAACAGTTTCCTTTTGGAAAATTAAAATTTATAAGCCATTCCCTGCCCCAGTTAACAACCGACTGGAGGTAATTTTTTAAAGTAGCTACTAGTTTTGGTTTGGTTTGGTGGCATATCAACCTCAATGAGTTATTTAACTCGGAGAAAATTTTTATTATAGTTTCATATGAATAGAGTTTATATTGTTTGTACGGAAACTGTTTATAGATTCGGTTTCATAAAGAGGGTTGTTGTCAAGAATCTGGTTTCATTGATGTATTTTTTTCAGATACACGGTTCATAGAGAAATTGATTTTGACATTCTCATTTGGTTTATAATTCTTGATAGAGTCCTACTATTTTGAGAAATTATATCATATACTTTTTCTTTCTCAAACAGCTTATATATTTTGTTTATATTATAATATTTCAGTCTTGAGAGAGCAAGATTGAGTACTCTGTTAATATATGATAATAGTAAATGCAGTTTTACATGCTTGGCATAATGGCTGATCTTCATTGTTTAGTAAGTATGAGCAGGTTATTCTCATATGGCTAAAGCTGACTTGGCTGCTAAATCTGCTTCATTATTATCTTTAACTCCAGTGTGACTAGGAATCCAGCAGAGTTTGATGTCTTTATGGTTGTTAATAAAAATGCTCATTTTGAATAATATTTTCATAATAAGTTGTTGGATTTTTTCCTTCAAAGCCAACAGGACAGATAGTGGGTTCAAAAAAATTAGAACAGTTTCGTTTGCTCTCTTAGATAATGTCGAAAGCTAGCTCGACTGCATAAACCTCTGCAGTGAAAATAGAGCTTCACTTTGGGAGGCATCTTTTTTTTGGTAAAATTTTGGCTCACTGCTGCACGCCCTATCTTGTCTTCACATTTTGACCTATCTGATGGGTGTATGGTTATGGAAGTTTGCCAGTATGTCCTGAAACTTATCCTGGAATGTGAGTGAGTGCATTTTTTGTTTGGGGAGATTATGTAATTCTAGCAGAACTTCAGGTTGCTTGATAGCCTATGGTTTCTTGCATGTTTGAGTGCAGTGCCTAACTCTTCAGCAGTGGATTTCATTCTGAGTCTGTAGAGTTAATAGCATTATCTTTTTGTCGCAATAGATCACAGTAATTTGGTTCAAAGGCACTGTTGTAAGTTGGGTTAGTTGCACATGATTTTATTTTTACATAGTACTGTAGTGTCAGTTTAGTGCACTGTAAATGTGGAGGTGTTCCATTAGCTTCTGTGTATAAGTTCTCCGCTGGGGATGTTCTAAAAGCCCTGAGTATTAATCTGGGGCATTGATGATCAGCTGCATTGAGTATTATTAGGTACAAATTTCTGGCCACCCCAAATATGTAACTAGTGTAATTCAGTTTTGAATGAATTAGTGATCCGTGTAATTTGATGAATTTTAGTTGATCTTCTCCCAATTCAGTATGATCACTACACACAAAAATTGTAGGGATTTGCCAAATTTTGTTTTCAAATATTTTAGACGGGGAATAAATGTTAATTTTTTTTTATCAAAGATAATGATATGAATATGTCGAGATCTGCACATAATTAGAAAATCTTCAACATATAGAGAAGCTTCTCACTCCAGGGCTTAGGGTTTTAACTATGGAGTTAATTTTTATGCAAAATAGCGTCATTGAAAGAATGCTTCCTTCTGGAACCTTCTTGACCTTGCAGTTCCAATAATGTATTTCCTATATAGAGTTGAAACCTTCAGTCTTTCAGGAAATTCTCTATGAATTGCATCAGCCGGCCTTTTAGACTCAAGTTCATGCAGATCTTTCAAGATACCAAATTTCCATGTTGTATCATATGCCTTTTCTAAGTAAAAAATATACATGAGATGTTCTTTCTTAATGAAGGTTTCCTTTGCAAAGGTTTTGAGGCATACTAAGTGATCCATGGTACTTTTTTCCTAAAAGCACATTGGTAGTCACTGATTAAGCCATGAGTTTCCAGGTGCCAAGTCAACCTGTTGTTGACCATTCTCTCCATAGTTTTATACAGGCAGCTCATTAGTGCTGTTGGCCTGTAGCTTTCAGAGTTTTGCTCTTTAGCTTATGTGGTTTTGATTTCTTTTTTCTAGGTTTTTATTTTGGAGGTTTTAACCATTTAGCGGGTGGGGTTCTGGCTTTCCACCCTCCATCATTTCTAGTTCATCATTGCTTTTGTGTAGGCCACTGGGGATTTCCAGCTTTTGTTTGACTGATTATATTCTTTTGGGAGATAAGCTTTTCAGTCTGTTTTTCTTGGGTTTTGTTGGATGGATAGGAGATCGCTCTGAATTTTGTTTAGTATGAGATTAGATATCTTTTTTCATCTTGCTATCTGCTTTTTTCTTTACTTATTATTTCAGTTTTTCATTGTGTTCTCCTTTAGCAGTTCAGCCTGCACCATTTCCTTGGAATATAGACT